TAAAACTTCAGTTACCCTAAATGACTATGGGGCAATCCTATTAAGCTATTAGGGGAAGTTGAATATGAATGTTTCTTATAATGGACAACTTTCCAACTTCCATTGTTTAGTAGTTGAGGATAAGAAACATCTAGATAGGCCAGCTTTATTAGGTAGACATTGGCTGGCTGAACTGGTTTAACCTATTTAAGGTCAACTTTGTGTCTAGAGATAAAGGTAGTAATACCTGTACATACCCAGAATCCGGCGCCTTCTCACTGGGTATTAAGAGGGAATTTCCTTCTGATCCGATCCTATTAAAGGATTTACAGTGTCAGTAAACTTGAAAGAGGGTACTAAACTTAATTTTTGGATAGCACGACCTGTTCCCTATGTGTTGGAAGATGCACTTGAAAGGCAATTAGGTCACCTAGTAACCATAGAAGGCAAAATGTACAAAGTATTATATAGTGATTGGGCCAGTGAACTGTTATACTGTAAACGGTTCTGTCAGAGTTTGTGGCGATTGTAAAGCATATGTAAATAGAGAACTAGAGATAGAACAGTGCACACTTCTTGCACTGAAAGATTGATTTTCACAATTGTCAGGTGTTCAATCCATTAAACAAATTCTTACAGAAAAGGGTTGCATGGAACTGTGAATCAGCCATGACTAAATGTAAAGAAGCCTTATTTAGTTCTGATGTACGAGTTCATTATGATCCAAAGTTACCAGTCAAGTTATCTTGTGATGCATCACCCCATGTAGTTGGGTCAGCCATTGCCCATTTGATGAAAGATAAATCTGAGAGGCCAATTGAATACGCTTCCCAAACATTGTCAGTGAGTGAAAAAATGCTAAAATTGAACGGAAAGCTTCGTCTATTACACTTGATGTGAAAAAAGTTTCACAAATAAAAAGTCAAAATTCTATTAGAGTCAAAAGTTTGAGTTTTAGTGATTAGAAACTTAGTGATTTAGTGAACACGTAAAATTGGTACAAGGACGCAGTCCGGTGAGCCCCTGTTTCCTTGGAACTACGTTGTTTGAAACAACATGGTGACTATGAATATCCATAAACTGAAACGCGAAGTTCCCTCTACTATCGCACAAATAAATCAGCATAACATCCTACTGGAAGTATATCACTATCGTATCTGTCTTTCTATACCCCGTGAGAGACATCAATAACCATTATTGCGTGCATAGTCTGCAAATATCAACTATAACTACGAGTGATTGCTAGAATGTTTCACTATAATCAACCGACTGATTGAGGAGTTCCATGGGAGTGAACGCGTAGCACATATATATATATATATATATATATATATATATATATATAGGAAGGTAGTCGATTATTCCAGGTGAGAGTGCTCGATACTAAACGATGAGTTTGTAGAGCAGATTTACATACGTGGACAGAGAAATTAAGACACGACTACATGAGTAAAGTTCACTCTACAGTACTGTTTCGTAAGGTACATGGAGTACCTCACTCATCAGGAGTTAAGACTTTATTAAATAAACCACCGAAACAGACTACGTTATAAGCGCTACAGATTTGCATAACAATGGAGTGTGTTTACGATATTAAAACTAGTTCTGTGTCTACAGGAAGAAAAAAGTTCATTTCTTTTATTTAAACTACAGTAATGTGGTTGGAAAATTATAATATATTTCTCTCTAATACATAAGTTGCAACGTTTGCTTGAAGTATTGTATGGTGCAGCACGCGATAACACTCTCCATTTGATGTCGTAATCGATGTTATTGTCTTTTAATGACCAAGCGTATTTACTGAGCTCTGTTGCGTTTCTCAATGATTGGTTGCGTACGATGCTGTGTGGTTTCTGGTACCGGGTTTTAAA